GCAGAAGAATTTGATAGGAAAGAAAACGGAAAAAAAGAGAAAATAAAAGGGAAAGAAGTAAAACGAAAATAGAAAATATAATGATGCCCAATTAGAATTTGACATATGGTCCGGTAACCTGCTAATGTTGTTCATTCAGGTCACGGGCTCATTTTTAGAAGATACCATATATTGTTTAAATTATTTTGGAATAATTCATATTTGGGATTAATTAAAGAAGATAGTCAATAGATAGGATTATTGATGTAAATTTTTCCTATAAAAAACGGTAGAATAATGATTTTTTATTATTATTATTGTGCTAATAAGCCAATTACTTAATTCGTAGCTTGATTTTTAAGACAAATTAGTTGTATTTGTTGAAACTTGAAAAGGAAGGCCCACGTTTTTGTTGCGTCTCCATTTTCTCAGAACCATGGCGGCGGCGATATGGAAATACCGGCGAGGCGGTGGGCTGGGATTCATCGCCATAGCCTACATTGGAGTGGACTACCTCCGCTTCTTCTCGCCACATTTGCACTCTTGGATTCAGCCAGTGCTATGGACGGTCCTGGCAATTGCAGTCATCATCCGCGTTCCCTTCTACAAGCACTGGCCATCTGAGCTTCGCTCTGCGCTTCCCTTCGTCTTGTCTATAGTCTTCTTACTCTCCGCCCTCCTCATTGAAGCCATTTCAGTCCGTTCTGTCACTGCCGTGCTCGGCCTGGATTGGCACAAGTACGCAGCTCACACCACTTTTAATTATAATCTCGTTCCTTTTCTAGTTTCGAGTGATTCAAGCAATGCTTTTCTGTAATGGCTACGAGAAATATTAGATCGGGTTATTTAATTTCCCGATTTGTTTTTAATTTGAGCAAATGAAGAAATAAATGACAAACTGCAAGTTCATTTATTAAGCAACCTCTAAAGATTTCGTTCATAATCAATCTATATAAAAAGAATGCAATTTCTATTTTTGGTAGGATAATAAAAGATTATGGATACAGATTTAGAATGGATGAGGGGAAGGTTCAGGTAACTGTGGAATCATCCTTCAAGTGAATGATGGATGATTGGATGGTGGAGCACCCGCCATCACTTAAAGGACATCTTTTGTTAAATTCATATTGGATTTTTTCTATAAACTTTTGTTGTCCAAACTTAGGATGTTTTTGCTTAGACTTATTTAGTGACTAGACCAGATCAGACCAGATTTGCACTTTTGGATTTATAGTCCAATTTACCAAACCAATGCAAACCAGGTCAGATCAGACCATACCATAAATTTTCAGTCCAAGTAAAAACATCCTTAGTGTGTAACAATAAACATTATAGACTAGCTTAAAATATGATTTAAAATACTCCGTATGATTTACAACGTGACAGTGAAACATCGCCTCTTCCTGATGTTGGCCAGTGGTTACTTCTGGCATTGAATGAAAAGCTACCTCAAGTAATGGTTGACATATTGAGAGCTGATATAATTGGATTGCATCATTTTCTGATGCTGTTTGTGATGCTTGCCTTTTCTGTACTGTTTGAATCTGTTGAAGCTCCTGGTCTTGGGCTGGGAGCAAGATACTTGTTCACAATGGGTTGTGGGCGTCTTTTGAGGACCATTGCATTTGTTTCTACAATTTTGCCATCTGCAAGACCTTGGTGTGCACAGTCTCGGTTTCATGTTCCTTATCATCCTCACCGTTGGGCTCAGAAGTATTATACTCCGTATGCCAAAGATTCTCAAGCTATACGCCAAGTCATTAGCTGGGATACTGCATATGGTATTCTCTTTCAGAAAATTTGAATTTTTGGCCCCATGACTATTAACTTTTTCCCAATTTTTGTTCATGACTTTTATTTTTTTCACTTTTGGTGCACAACAATAGCTGCATTGCCATTTTTGGTCCTTGCAACTTATCATACAATTTCTTTAGAAATTCTTTTGCTGGATAAGGATCGGGAAGGACAAAGATGGCCATGAATCAATAGTCATGCACCAAAAAGTAGGAAACATAAAAGAAAGCTGGTGACCGAAAGTGGAACCAATGTACTCCGTCTGGGACCAGGAGTGGAATACTTTCTTTTATCTTATGCTTTTGTGTCATCATAAACGCTTTTGATTATTCCTTTTCAGCTAACCTGGGAGATTACAAAGCAGAATTTCGGCCCAATTGGGGGGTAATGAGCTTCCTTATTGATTTCTTACGACCTACATCCCAAGAGGGATCATCTTCATGGTACCATTTGTTGAAGAAAGCTGGAGGTGGCTGTAATGACCTCATATATAGCGGCCACATGCTTGTTGCAGTACTGACCACTATGGCATGGACGGTATGCCTCCTTGACATTTGTTATCCTACCATATTCTTCTTGTGCTGTGCTGCTATTTAGTGAGTGAAAGTTGCATTCCATTTCATTTGGCAAGGTTAGATTCCAAATACTTTAGCTAGTTTTTTCATTGAAATTGAGGTTAGATTGGCTAAAAATGTACTTCGTGTTTGAAAAACAATCTCCTTGAATTAGAGAAAATAGCAGTCATTATTAAAAATGACAAGAAGTGTTTCAGTTCCACCTGTTCTGGAAAAAATTTAACTTCTATAACACTTGACTTTTTTCATTATAGTTTTTAAAACAGCGCAGAGTATTAAAACAAATTGATTGATAAGTACCAACCCCAATATGGCCCATTTGGTTATGGTTGTGGCTTATGTGACCTGTTTCAAAACCTGCTTATTCTGCAAACGAAGCATCTGTTGTGAAAAACTAATGCAGGAAGCGTACGGTGGATATAGCTCAGCAATTGTGTGGTGTCTTTTGCTGCATAGTGCCCAAAGAGAAATAAGGGAACGCCACCATTACAGTGTAGATGTGGTTGTGGCCTTCTACATGGGCATATGCTTATGGAAACTGATAGGCCTATTCTGGCCAGTCAAAGACAAGTCAAAAAACAACAGGCTCGTTAAGCTGGAGAAGATACATGGCGGGTTAGTGCAAGCAGCTAAGGACTACAACATGGATAAAGTTAGAGAGCTCTTAGAAGAAGTAGATATGAGTGGGCCCGTTAACCAGAACCCCCCGAACAAAGTATTGCGGGTTTTTTCAGGCATGACCATCATCTTCACACTGACCATTGTTATTCTTGCTTTCACACTGACCAGTGACGGTTGATCCATTTTCACCCGACTTTGTGAATTTTTCCTCTTTGCCAAGTTTGGTTCTAGAGTGCACTATGGATGTTGTAGAAGTGTGTCAATTTATTGTCGCAGATATATCATGTGCATTGTATGAATTTTCATGTCCCATTCTCGTGTTGTGAGTCATGTAACATAGAAGAAACTCGATGAAATGGTGAAACATTATTCCTCCATGACGTACATGATAACAGTGTGTTGTGTGCGTTCTTTTTCTCTCTTTGTAATGCAATATGAAACTTTTTATCACTCTAAATGTTATTCTAATAACAGTTTACTAAGAATGGAATCATTGAAGGTTATTTGTTTTAGAGCTCGTGTATTCGAGGAATAGAGCTTGAACCATGAAAAGTGTGCTTGATAAAAGCTTAAGAGCAACTCAGATTGGTGTTAATTTGTTAAAGTACATAAGCACATTTCACCACATTCCAGGATTGAGCTGAATGGCCAATCCTTGTTTGACCTGATGAATCTTCTCGGTCTTTTGTGATCGCTTTGAGATGCTTCTGAATCTCCAAAGTATATGATACATCCACAAAAAAAATGATCAGTAGCACCCAAAATTAAATAAAATCAAGACTTTAAACAATTCAGTACAAATTTAACCTCGAAAGTCAATACAAAGTTGGAACAATTAAAGATAATGGGTGAAAATGACATTTGCCACCCTACATTCCTATAACATATTGCCTTCACTTGAGCTGGCATATCATGTGTTGTCAACAAATCTATCTCTTTAATGCAATATACCAGGGCTCCCCACTTATATGTGAAAAAACTCATTTAAACACACACACACAGCAATACTATGGTGGGAAATCAAATATATCGTTTTTTCCTCTCACAAAGTGTCATTATTGAAGTTTTTAATGAACTCCTTTAATAAATGTATAATAATAATAATAACTACAACTTAACACTAAATAACAAAGTGATTTTATTTTCGGCTATATAAAAAATTTATTGATTTAGTAAATAATACGGAGTATATAATAATAAAATGATACTAATCTCCCTAAATTTGCTTTTGAATTGACTCGACACGCTTATTTAGATGAGATAATTACCTTACGTATGAGTAAAACTTCTTCACTTTCTCAATCTAGATAGTGAAATTGCCTTGTTGAAGTTAATGACAAAAAGTTAATAGTAACACCGATCACATAAAGAAAGTCCTTATAAGAAAATTATATGAATACTATTGGACATTTTAAAGGAAAGTGGGAGATATTTTTGGGACAAGATCGTATCTTTATAATAAAAATGTGAATAATCTATATTTATGATTGTCAGGTTTATTTTTATTACTTTTTAGGAAAAATAGTCAAATACATCATTCACATAACTGATTAACTCTATAAAAACAATTAATATGATCAATTTTACCTGAAACAACCCTCTATAGCAACTAAAATGTAATGTAGATTTGACTTTTTTGTTTTCTTCTCTTTCGTTTTACTCATTTTTCTTTTGGCTTCTCTTCCCATTCCCAGGCTTCCCAGCTTCCGTCTTCTTGCTTTGAATTGCTGAAAAAAAAAATCTTTATCTTTACACACACACATAGCTGATTGCTTTGAGCCTGTCATTGCCGGAATTTTGATTGATTTTGAATTGCATATGAAGTTAAAATTATATGGATGTAATTTTAGTTGGAGTCTGAAGGTTACTTAAACTCTTCATTCTTTTGTTATAAATGACTTTATTAATTAGGGTTTGAAGGATGGTTGATTTTAGTAGTTATTTTTGGTGGTCAAACACAAGAAAACAATGAGAATGACCTTAGATTGAGGTCTAACATCTCCAAATCACATTTGAATGTAACCGTTGCAATTTCTTGAATTAATAACTTCTATCACATTTCTTCATTTCCTTTTCAAAGAGGGATACACTCATACACGTACTACAAAAGTCCAGCTAGACCAAAACCCCAATTCTTTAAATAATATAAGTTGTATACAGAGGATTCAAGGCTCGCGGTCACATGGCTTCTCGAGCCCGAAGAAGAACTCGTTGAAGTTCATCTGCGAGTTTTTGTAGGATAACTGGTTTCCGTATAAGACCATTCATTCCCACCTGAAGACATTTGTCCCACATATGATCTTCCGAACTCGCAGTCAGTGCGATAATCAATGGCCAGTTACGACTCCTATACTGTCGCACTCTTTTTACCACCTCAAACCCATCCATTTCTGGCATGTGAAGATCCAACACGATGATCTGGAAAGACGTCCTTCCCGTGGGGCCACCCAAAGCACTTAGACATTCAAAACCAGTTGAAACTGCAGTGACATGGCAGCCTAGCATCTCAAGTAGCTTTTTAGTTACCATTCTGTTCACGCCATCGTCATCAGCCAAAAGAACCTTAAGGTCTTTAAATGTTGAGCTCGAAATTTGTTGCTCAATAGAAGGATTTTTATATTCGAAGACCCGCCGTCTATATGAAGATTGCTTCTGGAATCTAAGAATCAGAATCATTCCTTGTGCACGGCCCCGGGAATTTGAGGAGATCCATATATTTCCTTGCATTAACTGCAACAAGCACAAGAGGTCAACAAGAATTGCATTATGCTCCTGTTAATACTCTGTACAAAATAATATGTTCCTATGAATTGAGTTGTTTTGTGTATAATATAATATTAACCCAAAAGACAGGAAAAGTAAATCTAGTCAAGGTCCTTATTGAGGACAAAGAATCAAAGTTAATATATCACAACTTGATGATCTGTTGAAAATGTCAACCTTATAAAAGTAGTCTTATATACTAGCCATGTGGACACTCTTTAACACCCTCTAGCTACCGAGCACCGCATTTAGCTCTTGCAACTTTTAATTTTTCAAATCATAGGGACACACATCTTTCCAAACTTGACACATAGGCATTCGTCTGGTTTGGGCAATTTTTCCATAACGGCATATACACTTGCAACCCCATTTTTCATACAAGACCAACAGCATTGCTATACGTTAGCTCTTATACCATTTTAAAACTTGAGCTTCCGTTCTAAAAATGTTGAAACCTAAGCAAAAAGGAGTAGCCTATGATCTTAAATATTACTCCGTAGTTTTTTCCTTAACATTTAGAATCACTTGAGTAAGATATTTACATCTGGTGTCAAACGAATCAGGAGAGCATTTTCCATGAAAAACAAACAGAACCCAAGTAACAAATTTTGCGGGTAAAAATGACGCTCTTTTGAAAGTGATGAGCTACATCAAAGTGAGAGATACTAAAAGGAATCTGGAAAGTGATGTCATGTTTAGTGTGTCACTTTCATAACATCTTAAAACGTTAGACTTCATAAATATGACATCACCTGCAAGGCCAGAATGTAATGCATCACTACATTAAAATGAGAATCGGATATTCAATAAATGGAACTTGACATCACATTTATTATATCAATATTATAGGAGATGAAAACATTACATTATGTAAATGAAATATCATTCGCCAGGAAGGAATGTGGTTCATTTCCATGAAGTAACATTACATTATATTTTCTAGAATGGACGTCTATATTTGATATATTTGAGTAAACAACTATTTAAACAATTATTGTTCCGGAAATCTACTTTAAACCGTTGAAAGTAATGAGCATCAAGAAGAACTACATCAATAATGAAATTCACAAAAGAATTGCAAAATGGAGACATTTATGTTGTAATAATAAGGACCCTTCAATTTATGATCTTTTTATCAGCAGAAAATACATTTCCAGATTTTCAAGTGTTTGGGATGGCGTAATATTTATATATTTGATAATACTAAAAAAGAAGCATTCAGAATGCGAAAATCATTTCCTGGATTCATTGCTTTTCTTTGGAAAATGGCTTAAGATAGGATGTCATATTCCGAAACAAGTTTTTCACTTTTTTGGAGAAAGCATTTTGTGTAGTTCGTCTCACATCAAATTTACCTTCCATCAAAATAATGAAAACTAAGGAGGATACATAAAAACCACTTGATTTATTACCTGCACAAGCTTCCTGCACATGCTGAAGCTCAAACTTTCCTTCACATCTCTACTATTATGCTTTCTCCGGCCCGGATGAATGCCCGACCCTTCAACAGTGACTTCAATTTCGAATTTAACTGCCAGATTCTCATCACCCGAACTTGCTATTCTAGCATTCCGAACTTTATTATTATTCCCATCCCCAGATTCACTTTCAGGACCAACTCTGAACACCACCATGCAGTTTCCATCACTTTTGTTGAACAAATGCCCGACCATATGAAGTATAACCTGAAATGTTCTATTCTCATCCCCCATCACCTGGTTAGGCAAGGAACTTGAAACATCCGTAGAAAAACCAAACCCCTTACAAAAAGCAAAGCATTTAACAAGACAACAAGCCTTCTGTACCAAAGAGTGAAGCTGAAATGGCCTCATCTCCACGGGGAAGATTCCGTCATCTTTTGCAGATATCTCCATTGCATCGCTGATTAACATAGACAACACCGTACTTGTTTGTACACATGTGTCTATGACAATCCTCTCTTCGGGTTTCAAGTTGTTGTTAGTATGGTCTTGGAGTATAGAAAGCAATCCCAAGATCGAGTGCATGGGTCTCCTCATCCCGTTATTCATCACCTTCTGAAAGGCACTCCTCGCCTTGCTGGCCTTCACGGCGTCCTCTTTAGCTTGCACCAACAAATGGTTCCTCTCTTTCAGCCTCTCGCGCATCGACTGAGATTCTTCAAGAACCGCTGCATGGGATAATGCCACAGCCACCTGATCGGCCACAACCTCAACTATCTCCAGCTCGTCACAGCTCCAATCCCTGCCATTCTCGTCACCGGGAGGAAGAACCAGTACTAACACGGCAAAACAAGTATCAACCAGCTCGGGGGTCCCACCTTTGAAATTTGAACCTCGAAGCAGTGGCATTCGGATAGCCGCGATCGGACCGCCGCAGGAATCGGCAAGAACCGAGTCTCGTTTGAGTATCCTCACCCCTTCATTCTTTGTTATCTCTAAGACATCAGGATCATTGATCGAGAGGCAGCGACAAGATGAATTAGGGTTAGGATTAGGGTTCAACTCATGCGTCAAGTTCATTTCTTTCCTATTCTCACTTGGCATCCAAACAACACAGTTCTGGAGATTCAATGTTTTGGAGAGCTCAACGAGAGTTGTGTAGAGTATGTTGTGCTTATCAAGCGACTTTCTGATTTCTTGTGTGAGCATGCGGACGTGCACACTTGCTTCATTCTGCTTCATCAACATTCCGACCTCTTGGTCTAGCTCTAACACATTCTGTCTCAAGAATAGTTCCCTGACTTTGAATTTCAGGAGGAGGGGGAGGAGGGTCAAAAGGGTAATTGCGGTTGCACAAGAAACGAGTGCTGTCAGGATTTTAGCGACGGTCAAAGACATTATGATTTGGAAGGAAGGGTGAGAGTTGATGGTCCAGACGTTGAGCAAATGTGTTAAGCCACAGAGGACTATGAAGGCGATGAATTGGAGGAGGACCCATTTGAATGGTATGTTTGAGCAGCTAATGAAGTAGAGCAGTTCTAAAGGGATTGAGAAATAAGCAATGGCGATCAATACGTCCCCAACTTTCTGGAGAAATAGGATGTTGGTTACGCTGAAGAATCCTTCATCGTCACACAGACAATCAATGGCTGACACAGCCGAGAAAATTGAAGAGATTAACAATCCAAGAAACAACCACCTCCTCCCCATAGTGCCCATTTCTTGGAAAAATCCAATCTTGATAACGTCAAACCATCAAGAACTAATACATGGCAGTCCTTCATTTCTTTTTAAATCCAAAAAGCCCAAATGCCCTTTCTTTGGACCTCATTCTCTCTACTTTGCATTCTCAGCAACAAAATCCCAATTTCCAGCCTAGACAACAATAAAATTGCTCAATCATATCTTGATGGGGCAGCAAGAACACCATCAATCACAACTTTCAGCTAGACAAGAAGAGAAAAAAATCAATAAACCTCAGTAAAATTCAATCCTCAAAAACAGACAGAAAATGAATAACATGGAATTAACATGATCCACCACTACCTGCATATCTATATTTATCTATATTTAAAAAACGAAATAGCAGAGGAAACATTTGGGCGGGAAGTGTGGATAGGTTTGATCTAAACAGAATTAATTTCTATGGAAAAAAGGTGTGCTAATACTATATTATGCTAATTAGCTGTAGTATTAATGATAGAACATTTTCTGAAGTGCGTTTTGCTAATTCCAACTGCGGGTTACCTAGCTAAAGAAAATAACTATTTATATGTTAGTTTTAATTATTCAATTCATCTGACCTTTGGTATTCCAAAACAAACTTGAAATAGATGTTCAACTGTTCAGATGCCTCTGGAATACGGCCCAATAAAATACTCTGTATGACATACGATATATAAATAAGTCCATTACAGCCTTGAGTAGCCATGCTTTCCTAAATAAAACAATGTAAATATACAAAGAACTACAAGCCTTACTAGCAAGGTTGCTTTGTGGTCTCTGTTGAGAACTAAATCTATTATATTTCATTGGAAATTCTATGTTGCATTCTTTGTGGTCTTTGTTGAGAACTAGAAAATTAGGGGACCAAAATAACAAACTTAAGATATTATCGATTGAAAATATTTTCATTGGTAATTCTATGTTACATTTTTTATTTCAATTGCAATCGTTAATTATTCACAATTTTTATGTAATTGGCAATTTGTTTTATTGAACCCTATACGCTAAGAGATGATAAAAAAAAAAGTCTAGCAATCTAAGAGAGATGAGTTTCAAAGAACATCCATTGTACATTTGTCAATCACTCTACATAGTTCATGCAGACATACAATATTTGTTTAATAGTTTTCCAATATTTACTGATATGTTCAAGGAACTACCTCACTGTCCGAAATGTTTTGGACAAATAAATAGATTGATATGTATCTACTATATGCATAATATATTTCTTAAAAATGAAATTAAAAAATTGCTCTTGAAAAAACAATGCCTTATGTGCCGGTAAGGCATTTGAGAATAAAAAACAATCCTCCAGTACGTTTCATGACCATATATTATTTTCGTTGTATGAAGTATAATAAACGAATAAACTGTATTGTTTACCAAGCTGCTTCTAGTGCTTTAAAATTATGTTTTTCAAAATAGACTAAAAAACTATACACAAATGATAAATTATAAATGGCTTGGAAACAAATTAATGGCGAAATTAGGAAAACTAACTCTTGAAATTCAATTTATTTTAGTAGGAAATAAATAAACCATCAAGAGTATTATTTTGATTTCAGTGAAAATAGGATTTCCATATTACTGTATTTATGTTTACAATTTTACACACACACAAATGCATAATTACTTAACAACGAAAAAACATATTATGATATAAACGATGGTTCAATATATCTAAAATAGGCGGCAATTATTCAATTAAGCACTACAAATGTATAGGCGTACGTCTGTGTATACAAATTTACAAAATAATTATATTTAAATTTAATTATATGTTTTTAGGTTGGAACTAAAAATGTAGCAAATGAATAAACATATTTGGAGTAGAATTTTTACTTGCAGAGTGACACGTTTTCTGAAAATAAAAATCTTAATTTTTTCTTCCATTTTGGGATCTTAGGTAAGGATCTGATAATCAACTAACTATGAAGTATGGACTGTAGCTTTAAAAAACTATGAGCTAATTCACCATAGCCAATGTCAACAAGGGCAGAACAAATTAATAGATAACAATCAACAATTATGATTTATGATTATGAACTAGTCATTTAATCAACGAACAAAAAAATCATTACTTTAACTAAATATTTATAACCAAATATGAATTAAATCAATTAATGAACTAATCAATAAAAGAGAAGGACTGAAGGAATACCGGAGCTACGGAATGTAGGAAGGTGAATATTTGAGAAGGGTCGAACCACCGAAGGGGGGGTGGCGGAGGGCAGGCGACCTGGCGACGACTGCGGTGCTGCCGCCTGGCGTAGTAGCGGCGCGGCCGTGATGCGTGCTGGCGCCTGGGTTCGTGGATGACAGATGACTGGATGTCGATGAAGTTGATCCAGAGTTGTCTGCTCGTCTTCCTCAACTCTGAAATTCGACGCCCTTTTGTTAATTTCGGGTCGGATAAAACCTTACATTAGGGAAATATAGAAACAGGATAGGAAAACTGGGACAGAGACCAGTAAAAGATCAAGAAAGCCGTGAGCATTTTGTGGTTTGGCATTTTGGGTTTTCTTTTATTCTTGCTAAGATTGCCTTCATTTTCTTTTTCGTTTCGTCTCATTAAAATTATCTTATACTTTCCTTCCTTCCAACATTTTACGATTTACGATGTTTGACTAACGATAAAGCAAATAGATCTTTATCTGCACTCGAATTATTTTTAGAAAAAAAGAATTACATATTCAGAAACTACATTAAAAGTTTTACAAAGTGTCAAAAACCAAAATCAAATTTGATATACGTAATATAAAGTAAGAGATTAAAAGTGATTTGTATTAACCAAGTAATTTGAAAAGATATCTTACAAAATGGGACTCAGTATCAAATTTAGTAAAGATCATGTTGTCCTAAATCATTTTGGATTCGATTGATACTCAACGTTTGGAAGTGAAAACGTTGTTTTCTTAAACTTATAAATGATGATATTTGCAACATTTTGGATAGAAAAACGTTGGAAAACATAAACACCCTTTAACTTTCTTGTTACAATAAACGCATCGCATTCTCATGTTCAAAAAGATTGTAGGAGAATCTTTAATTTTTTTGCTTAAAAAATCTATATTTTTGAAAGAATGTCTGAAAAAATAGTTATATAAATTTTCAAAGATTTTTTAGGTTTTCATGTGGATCCACATGAGTTTAAGTGAAGAGAATCTAGACCTATTTTGATTTTGTTAGTCACGTCAACAATACAATTTCTAAATATTTAATTAAAACATATTGCTATTAAGCATTGTTCTAAAACTCGCTAGGCGCTAGTCGGGCGGTAGAGGGGCGCCTAGCGCCTAGGCGGCCGACTAGGCCGATTTTTTGGCCGACTAGACCAATTAGGACTCTACGGTTAGGGCCGCCTAGGCCGATTAATCGGTCCGCCTAGGCCGATTTTTAGAACAATGCTATTACGATATAGCATAAGTGACAGCTGCATATGATTTAAAAAAAAAAATATACAAATAATAACCGCATGTTTCAAATCCACAACCTTGTCTAGCTTTAAATCCACATGTTTTAAAACAACGTCGTGATCACTTGTTTCCATGTCTAGCTTTTTTTAGAGGCTGTTTGGCACCACTTTTCGGGTTATCAAATTTATCAACCAACTTTTTCACCAAACACGTAACTTTTACTTCCGCGCGCTGAGTTGTGTAATAAGCAGAAAAAGTAAGGCTGGAGTCACTTTTCTGACTGTATTGGCTGAAGTTGCTGTATATGATCATTTTAGCTATTTTTACATATAATTTTTTTCTTTATTTTATTAATAAAATATATTTTAAAAATAATTTTTTCTTAAATCAGCAGAATCAGCCAATGCAGCCACTTCAGCCAGAACTTCATAAATTCCAGCAGAATCAGTCAAAACAGCCGATTTTCGTGCTACCAAACAGGCTCTTATTTGTAATTGTTAGTTTTCGATAAATGTATGTATGGGGTTTTCTGGAAACATCATTGATGAACAATTATAGATGAGTAACTATGCGTGAAATTGTTATGCGTATATCACTTTTAAAAAAAAAGTCATTCGAAATTACTCTAATTAATATAGTTATTTTGTGTAAAAGTCACATTTTATCTCATTGTCTAAAAAGTCACATTAATATTTATACGTAGTATATAAATTCAGTAGTTTAAAAATTTATTTCATCTGAGTTTTGAAGGGGTTGATTGGAAGTTTGGAACTTATATTTAAGATCTTCTTAGAGTTTTTTTCCGTAATAATGTTAATCAAATAAATATTTACGAAAATAGGGTTGCGTTAAAACTTATTACCGATCTACTGCTGAGCTTAACCTTGGTTGGGGTAAGTCGTCAAACGGTTGGGCGACTTATAAGCCGCCATCCGATTTGGCGACTTATAAGTCGCCCAACCGTTTGGCGACTTACCCTTAGCTTTAATACACCAGCGGGACGAGCAATCCAGATTGCAGACAGAACGATCCCCTTCCCAAAAAAAATCTCCCGCCGATCTTCGAGCGATCTCCTCCATCTCCGAGCGATTGCAGTCGAGCTCATCTCTGGCAACGCCACCTTGCCAAGGACTCTCCACCTCCATCTTCATCAACACTCTTTCTTCTATGTAAATCAAACTTCACTTCATCTCATATTGAAGTTGGGGTTTAGAATGTAAAAATTCCGAATTTTTAGATTATGAATTGATTTGTTGTGTAATGTTGATATGTATGAAATATTGCATTTTGATGTTGAATTTATTGTAATATTGTTATGATTATGTTGTGGATTTGTTGTGTAATGTGAAATTCAAGAGTAGATTTTTTTTCTTAAAAAAATTGTATTATTTTGCCATTGTTAAGTGTCTAAATATCATACAGGGTTTGCTTAAAATATCATATTTTTTTAATATGTTGTGATGTCTATGAAATGATTAATTTGGGTGTATAAAGTGTGTATATTAATGTGTACTCATGAAAGTTGGACATGTATTGTTATTAGAATATGGATTTCTCCAACTTCCCAATCGTGTGTCATTGGGGAGGGAACATATCTAAGGATGCTGGCCAAATACGCCATGAAGGTGATAGAAGCAGCTTTGTCATTGTTTCTCGTGGTGCATGTTTGCTCGAGATGCTGCAAAAAATCCATGAAGCTACACAGATTCCTCCAAGCCGTTCTTTGCGATTGAAAAATGAAATTTTCTCTTAACGGGGGATCATACATGCTTATGCCACTTGATGATGAGCTAGCTGTCACAAATATGTGGTTGATACTTCATATGCAGAGTATGTCCACGCTGGAGATATACATTGAGGAGTCCATAGGTGACGCTTCTACTACTCCCTCAACATCAAATGATGTTGTATCTAGGCATGGTGTCAATGCAGGGGACTCATCAAATGTTGCTGTATTGGACATGGTTGTAGAGAAAGAGGGGAGGTATTTACACAATGGTGCATCATTTTTGGATGGTCGGGAACTGATGATGATGCCGATGATAACATCAATAATGATGAAATGACTGAATCTGATGAAGATGGTGGTGTCCGTGGTGATACTGTCATCGCAACTGCCCCGTCTAGCCACTTTACTAGACTGTATGATCTCCCATCCGGCTTTAATGATGTGTGGATGAGTGGAGCAGGTTAGAAAAGGTTTACACCTGAAGGTGAGTTTGAGGTTGGTCAAGAGTTTGACAACAAAGAACAGCTCATCAATATGGTGAGCTTGTATTCTATTAAACGAAGAATATGCGCCACAAAGAAAAATGCATACCTCGACATGTTCACAGTTATGCGTTATCCTGGACCTCATTCTGCTACTTGTGTGGGCAACACCAACAGTACTGATCACGTGACGATGACTTCATATTTCATTGCTAAAGATGTGATTGACATTCTTCGCATTGATCCTTCCCTTTAAGTACATACTATTATTGAGATGCTGAAGGAAAAGTATGGTTATACGGTATCATACAGGCGAACATGGATGGGCAAGCAAAAGGCCATTGCTGAAATATTTGGCGGTTGGGAGAAGTCATATTCTGAATTGTCTCATTTCATGACAGCGCTCCAACATTCCAATCCTGGGACAGTTGTTCACTGGTACCCACCCCTATTACTCCCACAAGTTATATGCAGTTTCAGAGAGTATTTTGGGCATTCAAGCCTTTAATACATGGTTTTAAGCATTGTCAACACGTACTGACTATTGATGGCACACACTTGTATGGGGAGTACAAGGGTACATTGCTCGTAGCTATGGGTAATGATGCAAACAATCAATTATTTCATGTGGCCTTTGCAGTTTGTGAATCTGAGAATGTGGACAGTTGACCATGGTTTATGGCATGCATTAGGGAGTTTAATTTGTGAGTGATAGGGAGTTGTGTGTCATTTCTGATCGACATGCAGGTATAATAAAGGCAATAAATGAGGTGGGCAGTACTTGGGAGGAGCCTTTTGCGCACCATAGGCTATGTATCCGTCATCTGCATCGAATATGCACACTCATTTCAAAGACAGTAAGACACTCACCTTAAAAATCTATTTGTTTGGACCGCATGGCAACATCAGATAAAGAAGTTTGATGGTGGGTTCAAGAAGACAGGGGAAATGCGGGTGGAGGCACGACAATTTCTAGGGAACATTCCCTTGAAATGTGGTCACTACACCATGATGGCGGTTATAGATACGGCACCATAACTTCTAATATGGTTGAGGTCTTCAACAGCGTGATGAAAAATGCCAGATATTTGTTCATCAATGGTTTGGCCCAGGTTTCCTTTTACCGCGTTAACGCTTATTTTGTTAATAGGCGTGAAGGTAGTAAAAGAAGAGTGACAGAAGGTCACGGCTACTCCCCACACATCACGGATTTGATTGAGAAGAATAGAGACAATGCGAAGCATCACACTGTTACTCCATTTGATATAGGCCGAGGGATATACCAAGTGGAAACAGGATGTGGTGGCCGAACGTTGGGAAAGGGTGGGAGAAAGCAAATGGTCCATCTGTGAAGGCATACTTGCAGTTGTAAAAAGGTGGAAATATACAAGATCCCATGCTCCCACGTATTAGCCGTGTGCAGACAACGTAGTTTGTCTTATCATACATTTGTGGATCCTTTTTCTCATCTGCCCAATACGCCGCTACATATCAAGGAGTCTTTAAACCCATTCCTGACCGTGCTTATTGGCCGACTTACTATGGACCAGAAATTGTGCACGATCCATCCAAGCTTCGGGCAAAGGAAAGATCTAAGTCCACACGCATTAAGAATGAGATGGATGAGGGTCCCCAAGGAACGGTTAGATGTGGAAATTGTAAACAAAGCGGCCATAATAGGGCCACATGTGCGAAGAGATCCTCAAGAGATGGAGGGGGGTCCACTGGGTAAGGTTTTAATTATAATAATCCACAACTGATATTAACGTGAAATGAAAAAAATCAATTAATTAAATATTAATTAAAAACAATTAATTAATTAATTATTAAAAATTAACTAATATCTTTTTTATTTTTTGTAGGCATG